GGTGGCAGAAACCTTCATGTTGGCAGTGATGGCCTATGACCGATTTGTGGCAGTTTGTAACCCTCTGCTCTACACAGTTGTCATGTCCCCAAAGCTCTGTGCATGGTTAGTGGCCGGGCCCTACGCATGGGGTATAGTCTGTTCCCTGACACTCACCTATTTTGTCTTGGCATTATCCTTCTGTAGGCCTAACATCCTCAAAAATTTTGTCTGTGAATATTCTGTCATTGTTTCTGTCTCCTGCTCCGATCCCTACATCAGCCAAGTGCTTTGCTTTGTCATTGCCATGTTCGATGAGATGAGCAGCCTGGGAATCATCCTCACTACCTACATTTTCATCTTTGTCGCTATCCTAAAAATGCCTTCTGCTAGTGGGCGCCAAAAAGCTTTCTCTACCTGCGCCCCCCACCTGACTGCCATCACCATTTTCCATGGGACTGTCCTGTTCCTTTATTGTGTACCCAACTCAAAAAACTCATGGCTCATAATCCAAGTAGGTTCTGTATTTTATACAGTCGTCATCCCCATGCTGAATCCTTTGATCTACAGCCTCAGGAACAAAGATGTAAAAGACAGCATCAGGAAGTTAATGAATCACCCAACACAATTTTGTTGAAGACTGTATCCCCAAAAGGAATTTGATTTATTATATTGAGTGTGTTCAATGCTTCTCGTAGACAGGATGATTCAGATTATTTAGTCAATTCACCAGCGTTTTTAATCTATTGTAATAAATTGTTTATTTGATCATTTGATTTTCATTCACATCAATGTTTTGAAAAAATAACTGTGAACCGTATGTGTAGTAACACAAGTGTTACAAGTGGGATGAATATTGTCCCTTGAACTATTTATGTCCACCCAGAATCTCAGAAGTGACCTTACTTGGAAGTAAAGTCTTTGCAGATGGAATTGAGTAAGGATCAAGATGAGATCATAGTGGATTAGAGTGAGCCCTAAATCCAATGAGCATGTCCTTGCAAGAGATAGTAAAGGACGACACAGAGATGCACAGAGAAAAAGGCCATGTGGAGATGGGAGCAAATTGGCAGTTTTCTGTCACAGACGAGGGGGCAAGGAAGAATTCTCCCCTAGTTCCTTCAGAAGGAGCAAAGTCTTGCCAGAACCTTGATTTCAGACTTCTGGTCTCAAGAATTGTGAGAAAATAAATTTCTATCGTTCAAAGCCACCAAATTGGTGGTAATTTTTGTGATAACTCTGGGAAACATATGCAACAAGAAAACATCAGACAATAAAACCTTAACCTCTCAACTTATATATTGGCATGGCAAATCATTTTTAAAATATTCTTCAATGTAATTTTAGCAATGAGAATGCCAGAGTCACAGAAGAAATCTACAAAGCCATAGCTGAATAGGGATGTGCATTTGGAAGAATAAATGACAGACTGGGGCACTGTCTCTAAGATCCTACCAAGTTATTTGTTGCTTTCTCCCCAAGAACTTCATACACTTCTATTATAGTATAGAAAGTGATGTTAAACATGACTCTTAATATCACATAAAAATGTTGATTTTATGTGATGTTCCTGAAAGATTACCAAGTGGGCAAAAAATATCAATACATATTAATCTCACAAATTGATGTGTCAAACTTGATTTTTTAAATTCTATTTACTAACACAGTAGACGTGATAATACATTTCAGAAACAGTTTGTATAATCCTTGTTTTGCTTTGTAAGGTTAATAATTAGTTGATTACTCTTTTTACCTGCATAGAATGATTTTTTTTTTCCTGCCAGGCATGATTGTAACTCTTTTGATTCAAATATTCTTTAAATTGATTATTCATGTGTTTGGCTTAAAACGGTGACTGACTGAGTTAGAAAAAAGAATCAGGATGTTATGTCTGTTTATCTCTTGCTAATCATGTCTTGTATCACACAAGTTTCCCCAGGACATGCACTGTGTAGGCATCTGCTATTGCTGTTTCATATCACTGAATGTTTCGGTATTAATTGTTTTCCCAGAGTTACCATGTTCATGTCAAATAAAACTTAACGTCACCATATTTTATAAAGTTATGCCACCAAACCCTGTCTTATATATGTGAGTGGATAGACATTATAAAACATAAAAGAAACAGATTTTTTTATTCATAATGGTTCTTAGTTGTAAACCAGGGATTGTAGCTAACTTCGCCATAATTCTGGGCAATCACTAATATACTATATTACACATTTTTCTGATAATGTGACTCATAGTTTGTTCACCATGGGATATGAAATAAAAATTTGCAATTTTAATTCCACCATGGATTTGTATGTTTGTGTGTGTGTATGGCGTTATGCTTAAGGATGCAAAATATATACCCTCACTCTTTCAACACATTTAATAACAAATTAAACATTATTCATCATTACCCTTCTAAATAAATTTATTACATACTTTCTGGTACACTGGCTTGTATATGGAAAAAGGATGAGCTCTTTGATCTTTGGTTCGTTAATAGAAGAGGAACAAAAGTGATAAGGGACAAAATAGAAAAATCAGAAAAAAAATTAGTGTTTATTTGTTTATTTTTAATTCACTGAAGTATCTTATTACATCACCAGAACTTCCATCAAATCAAAGATAATCAAAATCAGTGATTTTCAGACTTTCATATACATACGAATCATCTAGAAGGGTTCTAAAACGCAGATTCTGGTGCAGTGGATCTGTGGGGGGGCCCCCAATCCTGCATTTGTAGCAGACTTCCAAGTGATGTTGGTGTTACTGGACCTTGGACCACATAAAATTCAACTGGTGTAGGGTCACATTTAACTGATAAAATATCAATATCTACAATATAGAAATATCTATAAAATTAAGTAGAAAAAGACAGTAAATAAAACAGTGGTAACATTAGAAAACAATATGAAACAAATCATTTTCTGTTTATTCATGTGTATAATACAAATACTATTTTCTGTGTATGCTATGTATTTCTGTGTATGAAAAATTGTGCCAAATCACTGCTCTGGAGAAACTGAAGTACATTAACACAAAAAGAAATGTTCAGTATGTATTGTTTGTAATCACAAAAAAATGAAAACAGCCCAATTAACATAAAATAAATGGTTAAGATGTATGATAGTCATAAATCTGATTCTACTAGGAAAGAAATCAACTATTAATGGTTCCATTACACTGGATTCCATGCTACACAGAGTGGCTTAATGTGAAATGTTTGGTATTCTATTTGTTTTAACTCACACATATACATAATACACAACAAACTTCTCACCAAATATTTTTATGAGACTATAGCCACTTCAATGGACATATTGGGTTTGAAAATGCTATTTCTTCATCCAAATTTTGGAAAATTATATCTGTGTTTTTCATATTTTGGTAATGATAAAAAACAATTCCAGGAAAGAAGCAGGTATACCATTTATATATAATGAAGTTTAGATTTGGAAATTGATTTACATAATCTTCATTCTGATTTGTGCGTGTTTCTCTACTTTTTTACATATATACAATCATATATACATGCACGTGCACACATACACACATACATATTTGGTTGCCCATTGTAATTGATGCACCTGTAGCAGCCACATGCTCAGCTCTGAGCATGTGACTGTGACTATCCAGGAATAATGAATATTGCAAGTAATTTTGTAAAAAAATCAATCCATGGAAATTATAAACTACAACATATTTCAGTTGTTTTTTTGCTGAGGAAAAGACACCCTAGAACTTAGGGGCTAAAAGCAATTTGTCATTTCTTACCATTCTGTGGGCTGACTGAGCAGTTCTGCTAGTCTCACTTGAGCTTACTCATGTTGCTGTGATTACATGGGGATTCTACTAAACTAGGGCTAAAACTTCTAAGATTGCATCACTCATTTTTTTTACCTGCCTTGGGGCTAGCTGTTGGCTTCAGTGTCTTGTTATTTTCCCAAAAGGTCTCTCTTTCAATAGTAGGTTACACTGACTGTCTTATGTGGTGGTCTCAGAGTAATGTTCAAAAAGAAAGTAGAAACTGTAAGGCATCTTAATGCTTCAAATCAGAGTGTTCACAACATTCTTGACACATTCTCTTGGCCAAGAAAGTCTCAATTCCAACTTAATGAATCCTTTACTGTGTTCCCTAGTGGAAGCATAACTCTCTTGGGAGTTAAGACTTCTAAACCGCTAAAGCTCACGGTTTCATGTATGGGAAGCAAAGATTTAGCTAATGGATCATTAAGGATGATAGGTAGAAGAGTCATTCCTATTTACACTTTAGACCCATAAATTCTGGGTCTCACGTGTTACTGGAGAAATAGCAACGTATATTGGTTGCAGGTTTAGAGCACGTAACAAATTCAGAGGGCTATTACTCTATGCCTCTAAGGTATTGCTACAGAGCTTGACCCATAGCTAAGTTTCAAAGCTGTTCTCAATGTTGCAGGTACACTTTTTGAATTTACAAATACTGGAAGAATTTTTGTTCACTGCTGTCTTTCAGGACCACCCCAGAGCAGGATTACAGTGCTACACCTGTGGTTATCCACTTCTGTGTCATGCCAGCATATCATGGAGAACCATCAGAAAACAAGGCACCAGTGCTTTGCTCCTTATTCAAGTTGTCATAGGGAATATGCTATGAGGTATGAATTCAGGCTTAGAAGGAAGAAGCAATATACCAACAGTATGAGCCACGGGCATTTGTACCACTTGCTCATACAATTCACTGATGTCTTCAGAAATAGGAGTTCTGTTGACTGCTGTCATGCCTAATTTTATAGATTAGCAGGATAGACAACACCCCATTTATGATGGGAAGTACAGATTGCATGTTACTTGGTGGCCTATTGTCAATCATGCAGTCTTTATTAGAGTCCATTAAAAAGTCAGAAGCTGTTCCTCAAAAGGGGAATAATTATCTGCAGAGGAAGTTATTGCTTCACTTTAAAATCCTAAAGGTCTGATCCATAATTCACTATAAAGGCCTATTCAAAGTTCAACAACCTCTTATCTGTCACATAGACTTCCAGGATAATCATACATCCTAAGTAATTTGGCCCAAATAGCACAGCAGCTTGCAAGGTAGACTGGTCTTATTACATAGTTTTCTCTCGCTTTAGGACCCAATCAAAATGGACACCTTCTGGGTCATTTTGTAAATAGGTTGAAGTGAGTTGTCCAAAATCAGTATATGCTGCCTACAGAATTCTGAAAGGCTGACTGAATTTTGGAGTAGATGAGGCAATATTTGAGTTTTATTTTAGTTTCATTAGTTACAGAGGTTATTTTAATTATTTGCAAGCAAAGGCTGATAGTTAACTTCATCCTGCAATTTTCCTATGTAATTTCAAGGAAATTCCACTCATTAAAGACAGTACAAGAGACCTAGCATTTGCTTAATTACCTGTTTTAATTCTTGTGAGGAATAAGTTGCTACTGATTCTCCAGAGTCTGCGTCCCCAGGGCTACAGGGTTAGATGTAAGAGCCTT